CCACCCCGGGCACCTCCCGATACAGGCTCCTGCTCTGAGTCAGCTTCAGCGGAGTTGGGGTGAGTCTGGGCCTCAGTACCTTCACTTGCATTGGCGTGGTGAACCCTAAATTATCTCAGTGTGAACAATGATGTCATCACCCCGGCCAGCCCCCACCCTTCTGATCTCCAGTCTCCAAGGGGAGGGGAGATGGCATTTGAAAGGCTGATTTTGCATTTGATTTCAGAGCTGCGTGTTCTCCCCTGAAAGCGGCTGTTGCCTGGTTTCAGCGCCGGGGAGCCTGCTGGCCTCCAAATAAGTGGGCAGGCCTTGTCCTCCAGCTGCTGGTTATAGCGTCAGGTCCCATTAGCGGGCAGGCCCAAAGAGAATGGAAGTGCTCCCTGCTGCTCCCCACATTCTCCACACTGGTCTGGGGAATTGTTCTTCTTCATCTGCCACCAGTGGCTAAGGCTGCGTCTTTTTCTGCCAAACCCCGCGACCTAGCACAGTGCCCCGCCCCCATCACCCTGACATCAGGCCCTCAGTAAGAGTCTTAATCAATGGCGGAGATGGCCCACCCTCAGTAAGAGATTTACCAGGGTCCCCAACAAAGCTGGTGGCAGCTAAACCTGGACCCCATCGCCTCTATCTTCTAGGGTATTTCCCCTTCCTTCTTCCCCCATCTCCTGAGTGGTCCTATCAGGCTGAACCCAGAGTGTGAAAGCCCAGCTGAGCTTAGTCACTGCCAATAAACATCAGTTCCCACTGGGGTTTGCCGAGGTGAATGGCCCCACAGCCCTTCGGAACCAAGGCACCCCCCTGTGTTTTCAATTATCATCTGTCCACGCTCTCCCGGAATCCCGGCCCCATCTGAGGGAGGCCCTAGTCCTTTCTCTGGAACACTGCACACCTGGAACCAATTCCGTCTTCGAGACTCACGGGCCTAGAGACCCGGATAACGGGCTCAGCAATTTTGATCTAATGAGGCTTCTAGGTGATTCCAATGTATCCGTGAGAATCGTGAAGAAACAGCCACGGGCTCAGATCCTATAAATACTTTCGGTAGTGCCGGGTCTCCTGGACTCGAGCAGGGACCTGCTTCTCTCTTTCCAGGCACTCCCTGAAGGCCCCAGAGAACGAAGTGGGCAGGTTCTGTGTCTGCAAGAGACCGTCTCCCTGGGTCCTGGCCTCGGAAGAGGAATGTGGACCGCTTAGAAGGTTCCAGGAGCAGCGCTGCTAAGGGATCGCGCTTGCTGATTAGTGATGCTGCCTGCGGTACCAGAGTGGGTACCCCAACATGAAGGCTTCCCCGCCAGGTGAAGTTCTTACTTTGGGCCGGAGAAGAAAACTGTGGGTCTGGGTTCTGGCTCTGCTCTTCTCATGTGGCTGGGGACTGTGGAAGCTCTGAGTGTGTCTGCGGGGCTTGGCCTGGACATAGATCCCGGAAGGAATGTGGGTTGTCTCATAAGCCCACCCGGCACCCCTCCTTGCTTCTGGGATAGGCAGGGACCTGATAGCACCCTAGCGGAGGAGGAGGTTCTGAGGCAGTGTGGGGGGGAGGAGGGTTGCTGTGCTTCTCAACCAAGCCCCAGGATGAGAACTCCGGGGTTGAGGGGAGACGGGAAGCCACAGGGTCTGAGGGTGGGGTAGGAAGGGAACAGGAAGCTGGAACTTGATTCAGTCCCTGGGAGTTGGGTGGAAGGGAGTTTATGCTGCAGTATGTGGGTGTCACGGGGTCTCTGTTGGTTCAGCACAAGCCTGGACTCCCCATCACTGAAGCATGTGGGTGCCAGCTGAACAAAGTCCATAGTTTTCTTCTCCGGCCCAGAGACAGTCCATGACTTTCTCTGGAGGTGGGTCCCCCACAGGGGTGTGCCCTGAGAGCAGTGTCCCCACTCTGCTAGTTCTAGAAGGTTCCCTCTCAAAGCCTGGTCTCTCCCATCTCCCCAGAGCTGCCCTTGAGTGAAGTCCCTTTGCATGTCTATGGATGCTGCTGGCCCCCCTAAGATGCTGCTCCCTGCATCAGCCCCCTACCATTGTTTCTGGGCTTCTTGGAGGAGAATATTCAATTTGGCCTCTAAGGAAGTTACCCTTTGGCCACTGGGGAAATGAATTCTCCGCTGATTGTGCCTCCTTTAATTCTTTCCACACTGTTTGGTGTTGCTAATACTGTCAGAGTGCAGGGTTGTGTTCCTGTTTTTTTTTTTTTTACCCCAATCACTGCCTTCCTAATATCTCATATGCCTGTCTCCCAGGGGTGGTGTGGGGGAGCTGTTGGCTATAGACAGCAAAGGTGAGGGGGAAGCCAGCCCCTCATCCTCAAAGGGCTCCCTGAGCTCTGAGGTAGGAAGATGAGGTCCAGGTGAGCTGCTGGGGGGACTCTAATTGTGAGACTTTAAGGAGACAGCTGGGAGCGGGGGAGGGACTACCCTTCGCCTGCAGGGCAAGGCCTTCTGAAAGTTGGCTGTTCCGTGTGTGGACAGAGTGGGCAGGAGGCCAGGCCCTTCTACTCCTCACCTGTCCTGCCTCTGCCAGCTCCTGATCTTACTATTGGAGGCCTGGGTCTGCAAAGCTGAGTGTGAGTTTCCAAAGAAAGCCATGGGTGCACGTGGGTCTCGAGCATTTAATGGCCGAGGACCGTTCCTCTGGCCAGCCCATGAACGAAGGACTGGGGGAATGGAGAAGCGGGGATTGGGTCCCAGGCTGGTTGGTAGTTTTTCTTTCCTCCCCAGAGTACTCCGATATCTCCCTTCCCCGCACAATCGTAGTCGTTGTGTTGGTTGTAGTCCCAGTCATAGTTCTATCATTCTAGTCTCCTCGTAGACCTCAAAGTCCTCTGCTTTGTCATATCGCTCTTACCCCCTACAGCATAAAGTTATATAGAAATCATGAAGGGTGGGGTACACATAGGTGGGGTTGAACATTGTCATAATAACAAACAGAGGTAAAGCCACTCCTTCAGGGGAAGTTCTAGGGAATTTACTCAAGGACAAAATCTCCTGAGTGTTCAGCACTCCAGATTACTAGGAGATCCGTTCAAGGGCGGGATTCCATCCAGGATGTATTGCTTTCTCATTTCCTCTGCTAGTAATCCATTTAAACAATCATAGTAAATTTACTTACCATATTTGTAGTCATTTTGTACGAACACAGTAAGCTTAAAGGTTGGCTCTTCCTGGGGACATCTCGCTATACATTTCAGACTATAGTCCTCAGGCCAGGTTAATCTTTCCTAACCCCCGCAGGGTTCTTATTCAGCTACTTTTCGGGTCACGAAAGTTCATTTCATGACCATGCTCTTAACCCATTATACTTAAGGTGTTTAGCTCTGTCCCCTTTTGATGCGAGAGTAACTTACAACTTGCCCTGAATCCATCAGTCTCTTCGTTGGGACCCTGCTTTTAGAGTGCTCGGAACTAAGGACAACTGAGGTTTAAATAAATATGGATGCCCAGGAGTAAATATTATTTTGGAGTCAATTAAATCCCATGATACAAAAGCAGAGCATCAACTGTCTTCCTGTGTCTAGACATAAAGGACGTTACTAAACCATGCAAGTGACATAAAGGAAAGAGAAAAGCAATATAGGATTATTAGTGCTTGATGGAATTGGGTTGCCTCAAGGGCACTGTTGTGGGAGTAACTCAATAAACCCAAGCTCCCTGCAGGAGAAGCAAGGACAACCCAGTGTTATCCAACAGGTGAGTTGCAGGTCCAAGGCTGAGCCCTGTCATAGGTGACGGGAGAAGCAGAAGCTATCTGGGTCCCTACCTTCTGTGTGCTGTTGGCTAGACTGCCTCCAGTTCCTGGAGTGCCCCTCAACAGCCCCCACCTGAGGCTGCCTGCTTGCCCCCAGGTATAATAGGTCTGAATCCGCCTGCCTGTATCCTGATGTGCCCGGGTCTCCCGCTGTTTAGGCCAACTGCTGGATCATGGTGTGCCTGGATCTGGCAGCAGGGTCAGCAGAACAGCCGGCTCTCCTGGCTCCTGCCCATGGTGAAAGTTAGGTCCTGGTGGCTGTCCCCTAATTCTGTCCCTAGCTTTCCCTTGCCTGATCATGGAGTCTTCGTGTTTTCATTCTGGGGCCAGGTGTCTCCTGGCTTTCCTTGCTTCTCCAATCTACTCATTTCCCACTGTCCCTGGAGCCAAGAAGCTCCAGACCAAGTCTGGTATCTGCTGACTACAAACTGGAGGGGACTGAAGCTGGGGTGGGGTGTGCAGTGCAAGCTCTTAGCCTGTGCAACCAGGTTCAGCTCCTACTCAAACCCCAAAGTCATAAGATCGGAGAGGCATAAGAGCCCTCCCTGTTGGCAGCCCACCCTAATCAGTAGCCAGTGATGGGTGATGGTTTCCTACCATGTCTTCTGTTAGGCTGGGAGGAGACAGACTTTTAAGCTAATAACTGCTTAAAAGTCTTCCTCAGGGTATGCAGGGCTGGAACTGATCTCCCTGGGCTTACCCTCCTCCCTATTGCCATCCTTCCTTCTGTCTGGCTACCTTCCCATTCCTTGAAGGATTGTTTTCCATCCTTTGAGTCTGTTTGCTCTAACTGTTCAGATGTGTTTCTTGTAGGCAGTAGAATGTTGTGTTCAGTTTCTGAATCCATTTTGCCACTCTGTGTCTCTTAATTGGTGCATTTAGACCATTGACATTGAGGGATTATAGTCATGGGGTTTTGTGCCATTTTTTTTGTATGGGTTTGTTGTGCTTGCAGGGTTTTTTCTTGTCTTATAGTAGCCCCTTTAGTCCTTCTTGTAAGTTTGGTTTTGAGTCTATGAAGTTCCTGAGCTGTTGTTTATCCATAAAATAGTGTACCATTCCTTTGAGTTTGAGAGTTTAGCTGAATAAAATATTCTTGGTGAAGCATTCATTTCATTTTTTTTTAACTGTATTCCACCATTGTCTTTGGGCATGGAGGATTTCCTCTGATAGGTCTGCTGTAAATCTAAGGGGTGCTCCTTTCTATGTGATTTCCTTCTTTGTCCTTGCTGCTTGCAGTATTGTGTCTCTGTGGCATCCATAAAAATATGGAACGCTTCACAAATTTGCGTGTCATCCTTGCACAGGATCCAGGCTAATCTTCTCTGTATCATCCCAGTTTTAGTATATGTTCTGTGGAAGTGAACACCACCTTCCCTTTCCTTCCAGGAATTTGGACTCCAGCTTGCATCTGTCTTTTGATTCAATTGCCTTTAGTATTTGAGATTCTGAAGATGACATTTCTATGCTTTTCTATGAAGCATTTTGTCTCACCTCCTGCTTTAGAACGTTCATTAGCTGGACATCCACTTCTGGCCAGCATCTCCCCTCTACACTGCAGAGATCCTACCTCTGACTTCTCGCTTTTGAAAAGTTGGTCATGGCCATTTGAATCTGGGTTGACCGTTTAGGATTTGCTTTGGGTTGACAACAAAGTAGCCTTCATCTTGAATGTGCTTGGCTTGAAGCTGGCTGAACTAGCCAGATCTGAGTTTGTTTTCACTTGGAAAGCAGCCATCCCATTCTGTATATTTACATTTGTTTGATGCAATCGTGGGCTGGTGCGATAGCACAGCAGGTAGGGCGCTTGCCTTGCACATGGCCGATCCTGTCGATCCGAGTTCAAGTCCTCTGCCACTCTTGGAGAGCCTGGCAAGCTACCAAGAGTATCTCGCCTACATGGCAAAGCCTGGCAAGCTACCCGTGACGTATTCGATATGCCAAACACAGTAACAAGTCTCACAATGGAGACGTTGCTGGGCCTGCTCAAGTAAATGGATGAACAACGGGAAGACAGTGATACAGATGCAGTTTTATGTTGGCACTATTCAAAAGATTGCTTGAGTGATGAGGGCAGTTTCTGCCCCCTGTGCCATGTTCCCTCAGGTGGAGATGGTTTGCTACTTGGGTTGGATGACAGCTAGGGTGGGTGTTGCTTTGAACTGGAAAATCTGCTTTGAGACCTGAAGGGACTGTACAAGCTGGCAGGTATCCCCCAGTGAGAAATTGGGAGAAAAAAATTGCGGGGTCTAAGCCCAGAGCCTCTGAGGACTATGGACTATTGATAAAAGTGACTTGTTTCTCTTAGCCTCTAGGAAGTGGGTAAAATAGTGTCTATGTTAGGACTTGGAATCTTAACACAAGAACAGTCATGCCAGCCTGTTCTTGTTCCTGGGGTGTCTCAAACGATGGGGCCCTATCAGCTGGGAGAGAAGGTGAAAATGGTGCAAGCAGCATAAGCCCCTCTCGATTCGCTTTGTCTGCATCAGTCACGGAAGATGGGGCCCAGTGCTCCCGGTCCTGGGCTCCAACACACATCAGCCTCCTCACGTGTGCACTGACTGGGCCCCCCGGGCTCCTAGCCCTGTTGTCTACTTGCAGTTGCATTTTTCTTGGCTGCTTCTATAAGCTCTGTTGCTTTTAGAACTTGATGAGGAGGAAAGTTTAATTTTTGGTCAAGGCTGAGTTTATTGAATCTCCAGTGGGACTGAAGATTTTTTAACTTTTTTAACTTTTGGGCCACATCCAGCAGTGCTCAGGGATCACACCTGGCTCTGTGCTCAGGAATCACCCCTGGTGGGCTTGGGGAACCCTAAGGGATGCTGGGGATTGAACCCAGGTGGGTCGCCGGTAAGGTGAATCTCCTACCCGCTGTACTATCTCTCCAGCCTCGAGACCTCATTAAGTTCACCTGGTTCATCTTAAACTTCTCATTCCTTCCTTGAAAAAGCATGTGCACAGTGAAATCAAAGGTTCTTGCCAACAGACAAGATAGGCCAACTCTGGTTGCAAAGTTGAGGCATTGTCTGGGAAGGGAACTAAGATCAAATTGTCAGGAAGATTGAGTGCTAGTCCTGGTGATTGTCTTGTCAGGGGCCATTGGAACTGGTAGACTCTCTGGCTCCATTTTAAACGGGCTGGGCTTGAGATGGAAGAGAGGACGAGGTTTAACTTGGGATTAATCTGAGTGGTCTTGGAGAAGCCAGCTGATTCTTCAGTGCTTGGACCAGGGCAACCTTCACTAAAGGGCTGGCTGTCTCCAGCATTTCTCCCTTGGCATGTAAGAGGTTCTTACCAAAGGAGTGTGGGAGATTTGAGGTTCTCAGGGCCCCTGGCTCTAAAGATCCTAGACTACCAGGAGGTGCTCAAAATTGGCAGCAGCACTGGGAATGTGGGAGTGTGTCAAGCAGCTGCTGCAACTCTGGGAAAGTTGTGGGGAATGCAGGGATGCAGAATTGCAAACTTGGGCAAACAAAGAAGCTTGGCCAGGAAAAGCTATCAGCCCCCAAGACTAGAGCCAAGACACGCCAGGGAAACTCGCTGATTTCCAGGGGCAGTCAGATGTTGGTGAGCGGGGGAACATTCCAGAGTTCTGTCAGCCTTGGCTACAACTGGGGGATGCCTCTAAAGGAGAATCCAACACAGAGTTTGTCTAGGAAGCTCTTTTCCTTCCATTCTGGAACACTGTTCCTTCTGAGTCTATGCAGAGGAAGTCCGCTCTGAATTCATGGCTTCTCTGGGATCCTGGCTGGCTTATTTTGGATCTTTGAATATTTCTTTGAGAAGCTTTCAACTTTTCTTTGGTGTGCCTTTTCTTGGTAAACTGAGTTTTTAAAACTCATTTTTCACTTGCTAGTAGTACTTGAACTTTTGCATTGCCCTTTGGGGCGGGGTGATCAGGGCTTCCTGTTGGTTCATTCCTCCAGTTTTTGTTGTTGACTGTTTGCAGCGATGTTGGTTAATAAAAACTGATGAAGCCAGGCTGGGCTAAGTAGTGTCAGCTAGAGCTGGCCAGAGGCAGCAGAAGCTGTGGCTTATTCTCTTGGCCTTTTGTTTCTCTGAGAACTTCCGAATCCGGAGCCGTGTTTTGTGAATCTGACCTTTATTTTCATTTAACATAGGAAAAGTGGCAACTGTTGATAGAATTGTAGGATTAAATAGATGAACAAAGTTGAATAGTGTCAATAGATCTATAAAATTCATGGACACTGTTATAGGCAAATTTTTGTTGCTTCAGGAGGTGTCCCCTGGGCATATATGTGTGACCCTTTATATCAGATGATATGAAGTGTGGGGGATTTCAAAGATGAAGGGTCAGAATCCTTTTGATCCCAAGTCCGGGGACTGAGACCTTCAGGGGACTCTTCCTCTCTGTTTTCCTAAGCAAGCGGAAGGTTTGTGAGGTGGGAGCGGCTGAAGCTTTCATCTAGGACAGATCAGGCCTAGAAGTTGGTTTAGGAGCACAGAACTTGGTCACCATAATCTTAGAACGGTGACTTTGCCCCACCATGAGAACTTGCCAGTTTTTCTGGACACAAAAGTGCACACAAGTGCAGACCTCCTGGTCTCACAGCTCCTAGAACTGCTCCTTCTACCAGTCCAGCCACTCAACCTCCTCCCATCAAAAGTGCCTCTTAAGTATTTCTGTCCGCCACTGGTTTCGACCAGGTCTGTTTCCTGAGAAGCAGGCTTTGGCCCCGATTCTGTGATCTCATGTGCCTCTCCAGACTTGTAAGCTCTCTAGTGGACCCAAGAAGTAGACTTCAGTGGTTCTTCTCAGACATAGTGGATTCTAAATACTTGGTGTGTTAGAGCATTTTTCTATTTGATCATCTTCCTCTCTGTAGTGAGCATCTGATGCGCAGAGTTCCTACTCTGGGTTTGGGACAGACTCTGGGACGAGGGAGCATCCAGGTTGTGTTGGAGTCTTTTTTGGTCTGAGACAATAATTTGACACATGACAAGATGTTGCGGTAACTAAGTGTAGCCAAGAATGGGGGTCCCTTCTCCCGCAGTGCAGGGTGGGGTGTGGAAGTACTGGAGCTTTGTTCCCTTGGCTCTGGCCTAAAGCAGAGATTCCACACGGGGTTTCTGAGCATCCTTGGCAGTGCTGATGAAGCATCACCACGTCCTTATTTTTGAAGAGGCTTTGGGTATATTTTCCAACCCCTGACCTTAGGTTTGAAATTTAGCTCTGCAGGCTGTTACAGGGGAAAATGAGAAGCAGGCTTTGACCCTGATTAGCTTGAACAGTTGTCTTGTCAGCTTGGTTTCTTTGGAGCCCTGAGTGCTTGGTGCTAACTCTCTTCCAAAGTTCTATATGAACCTCCATGCAAGATGGGATGCCAAATTAGTAATGCTACTAAGGACTCGAGTGGAACCTTATTTTGAAAAAGCTATAAGCTTTATACCGAAAACTAGTAAACTGACAATACAGGAAAAAAAAAAACACCTTTTCCCCTCAAAGTCACCAGGATGCCCTGGGAATGGGTGTGTGTGACTAAGGGAACTTCAGCCCACCCAGGGAAGGGTGCCGACACACACAGTGCTACTGGAAGTGGCTTCTCGGGTCCTGCTGTAGGTGATCTCACAGACCTCACGTTAGTGTGGCTGTTGCTGACAGTGTTGCCTGGAGAAACTCATCACAGGTCTCTGATGGATAAATTCCAAATTGCTGACTCTGCAACCAGGATGCTAATTCTCTACGGACCCCTCCAGGGACATGGGGGGGCTGAGGGCCCTGGGAGATCCTGGGGTCACGCCATACAGAAATAGTGCCCCCAGGTCTGTGAGCCTTCCAGTGACTACCAGAAGGGATGGATGGGGCTCTTCTGGGGTGGCAGGCCTGCACTCCCCTTTTTTTTCTCCCCAGGGGAACCACTTTGGCCTTGCAGTGGAAAAGTCGTGTCTGGAGGGGTATCAGCACCCTCATTTTTCTTTTCTTTTTGCTTTTGAATTTTTTATTACCATGGGGTTTTTCTTTTCAAAGACAGGTGGCCATACCAGTGAGGGGGTTGGAGAAGGGGCGAAAGAAGTTCTACTCTATTGGTAATAAAGTCCAAGTTCATCCCATCATGGATTTCATAGCCCCCCCCCCCCACCCCCAGAGAGACGTGGTCCCTTAAATCATGTATCACTCCTTCAAAACTATCTGTTTCAATCTTGTTCCAGTGGGTGCCCATCTGGGCCGCAAACAGCTTCTTTTTTTTTTTTTTTAAATTTCAATTCTTTTTTTTTTTTTTTTTGGGGGGGGGGTGCAGGGCAGATCCCAACATGGTTTTGTGCTTTACTGGCAGCAGAGAGCAAAAGTAAGTCATTCCGGGTGGGGGTCAGGGGATATAGGCAGCCAGTACTGTCTGCCCCAGCC